CGTATTGGCCGCAAGCAAACGGGGAGGTGGAACGTGCAAATAAAACAATATTGAAGCACCTCAAGATAAGCCAAGAAGCGGATAGCACTAACTGGGTTTGGGATCTAAGATCATTCTTATTAATGTATAATTCAACTCCTCATGCATCAACCGGAGTAGCCCCGTCGGCACTCATGTTTGGGCGCATATTTCGTGACAAGCTTCCTGCTTTCGGCGAGACAACTAACCGTTTGGAGCAAGAAGAGGTACGTGATCGAGATTGGGAAAAAAAGCTTAAGGACGCGGAATATACGGATACACGCCGCCAGGCAAAGCCATCTGAACTGAGGGAGGGAGATATAGTTGTTTGTAAGCGAATGATGAAGGAAAACAAACTTTCAACAACGTTTGCTCCAGAAGAATATGAACTCATGAAACTAAAAGGTTCAGAAGCTACATTGAGGTCAGTCAACACGAATCGCGAAGTACATCGAAATGTGGCACATCTAAAGCGATTGCCTAGAACCGAACCAACCGAAAATAAGACAACGGACTCGACAACAGTACAAGAGGACCGAAGCTCATCTATCCATGACGATACCGTCGGCGTTTCATCGGGCAGTAATGTCACACGACCGTTGCGAACACAGCGTAGGCCAGCATATCTTAATGAATATCATACGGATGCAGTTTGGGACTTTTAAGTGAAGGGGGGATGTTGGAGCCGACTAGGCCCTTTGTGAAACAACAGAGATAGATAGGAAAACCTAGCAACACTGGACGAGCAGAAATAGTTAGTTAAGAACGAGAGTCGGTCGTGACGACACCATGTGCGCGTGTGCAGAGCGAGGTTCGGAAATAAAGCGTGGTTGTGTGGAGAGCAATTCTGTGCGTACTTATTTCGTGGATCCGACAATCATCAAGGAGGATGTGGAGTGCTATGACACCCAGGACCGTTCGAGGGGTGCGCAACTGGCAGTCGGAGTGGGAAAACTCCTCAAAGGGGAGGTGGACCTACCGCTTGATACCTTCCTTATCAAGCTGGGTCAACAGGCGCCATGGGGAAGTAAACTTCCACCTGACACAGTTCCTGTCAGGCCATGGCTGCTTTAGGAGTTACTTGCATAGGTTTGGACATGCAAGTACTTCCACCTGCCCCGCGTGCGCTGGTGTCGAAGAGACGGCGCAACACGTTGTGTTCGCCTGTCCACGCTTCGAGCCAGTAATGAGCGTTATGATAGCAATATGCGGAGCGGATACCAGTCCGGATAACATCGTCCCTAGGATGTGTGGTACCACCGAGATCTGGAGCGTGGTGGTGACTGCGGTCACCCTCATAGTTTCGGAACTACAACGAGTGTGGCGTGCCGAGCAGCAGTTGCCTACTGCCCGACTAGAGCGTTAGAGTATGGCTAGAGGAGAGCTATAGCGCACAGACCCCTCCCACGAAGTAATGCCTTCGGGCGGTTCCGGGGAGGTCAAGGGCCAAGCGCACAGGTTGGGATTTAGTATGTCGGGAGTGCAATTCTCCCATCCCCACATTCTGAGTTACTTTCTCAGGTGTCTGTGAGCTGATTCCTCCTGTATAAAAAAAAAGATAGCATCGGCCGGATAGCGTCGGCCGGATAGCAATTTTGAACCCATTGGGTATATTCTTTTGAAAATTTTGGGAGAAGTAGTTTAGAGTGTATTGTTTACACTGTATTTTTATCGCTATGAGTTTGAAGAAAGTTGAAAAAATAGCGTCATCCGAAAAGCAACGTCGCGAATTGATTTTGCGCAAGCACCTGGAAAATCCTCAACTCTCTCATCGGGACATCGGAAAACAACTCGGAATCGTGCAGTCAGTGATGCAAAATATCATGACTCTCACGTCTGCGCATCAACCGACAGAACGTTTTGTCACGCAGTGAGAGGTCGAACCATGACAAACAACAATCACCAGTAATGGTCGCTGCTCACATGCAAAACGTTACACTCGCTGCTGATGATGAAAAGCACAACGAAAACAGTGAAGACTTCTGCAGTACGATCATGAGAAAAAGCGAAACGACAGAAGAAAATGAAAACAATGCCTACGCATTCCAAGCTCGTCTCGACAGGCGCGACTGTGTGAGTTACCAACAAAGCAGGCAACATTAAACGGAAGCTGTTGGGCTCACTCACCAACACACTGACATAAGCCAACAAAGCAGCAACTGCTTCAAAACGAACACATATGAGTGTTGTGATTGTCGGGAATGACCAGATCGGTGATGGATCACAACCAAAGACGACATTCACCAGTTGCTTTTTACTTCTTTCGTCAACTTGATGGATGGCCATGGAGAGAGTTTCGACAAGCACATTGATAGGAATGTACAAAGTGTTACTACCATCAGCTGTTTGACGACTGTGATTGTGATCGGTCGCAACTCTGCGTGCAGTTAACGATGAGTCGTGTGATTAAACGTATGTGGCCAAAAAGTTGAATCTGTCCAAGTCTTTCGTTCAGAGACCCAAGGACCGGGAGGGACTACATACGTACAAAGTGCAGAAGGCTCCAAATCGTGGCGAACGGCAAAATACGGTGAGAAAGTCATGGGCCTGGAAATTGTACACCCAGATGGTGACAAAGCCTCCCTGTCTCATCATGAATGATGAGACTTACGTCAAGGCGGACTTCCGGCAGCTTCCGGGGCTACTGTTCTTTACCGCCCAGCAAAAGTTTGATGTTCCGGAGGAAGTAAGGAAGCAGAAACTTTCAAAAAAATACATGATTTGGCAAGCGATCTGCTCATGTGGCAAACGGAGTGTGCCGTTCGTGACTACTGGGACTGTTAACGGGAAGATCTACCTCAAGAAGTGTCTACAGAAGCGTCTGCTTTCTCTGTTGAAGCAATACGAGGGTCCTACGATCTTCTGGCCGGATCTAGCTTCGTGCTACTATTAAAATGTTGTCCTGGAGTGGTACGAAGCCAACGGGGTCACTTTCGTACCCAAGGACATGAACACCCCCAACGCACCGGATTAAGGCTAATCGAAAAATACTGGGCTAGTACGAAGCAGACACTACGGAAGCATCCTAAGGAGGTCAAATCTGAGGAAGGCATGTAGTAAAGGTGGGATTCCGTACAGAAGAAGCTGCCAGATGTTGTACAGAACCTAATGAGTGGAGTTAAGCGCAAGGTGCGAGCGTGCGGTTGAAGTTGAATGAAATAAATATGCCAAAGCTTACTAATGGGCTATATTTTATTGTCTGAAAGTTTGAAAAGGATCGGTCAACTACAGTGTTTTTTTCCGTGATGCAATTTGATGTGGGGCACCCTTTATATTTCGATGCAGCAGATTGTATGAGCCTTGGTTAATCGTGTAGTCCAAATTTTCCGGACTCCAGGACGATTTGGAGAACAAAGAATATCTTTTTTTTCCTTGATTTTGTTTTCCGTCGATCTTATTTTCTGTGCTGAGCTCCAATGCTACCGATGCCAGGCAGGTCCCACACCTGGACCCTACCTATCGAGCCATCAACTCATTAAACGGGGACCAACGGCTTTACTTCCCTTGATCAGGGATGTTATGCCTCAGAACATCCTGGCGGTGCCGACTGGGATTTAATCCAGGCCTGCTGGGGTGAGAGATAATCACGCTTACCACTAAACCACCGGCGCCGCTAAAGAACTTCTGATATACATGACAATAAATCATGCATGATCCACATATACACATTACCCTGTGTGGACATATTTCGATGCTGCAGACTTTGTCTGAATCTGGGTTGACAAATATCTGAACTCCAGGACGATTTGGGGAGCACAGAAAATGTGATATATATGACAATAAGTTATTCATGATCCACAGGATCACTTTAAATCTGTTGCTTTCAAATAAGCCAAATTATCCAAGAATCGGTATCGAAATATTTTTTTGAGAGCAAGTTTAAATCTGGGTCAAATAGACTATGTGTTACTTGCTTGCTCTTAAATGTATAAGGAAGATTAAAAATAAGTGTCACTGAACTTTTGAATATATTTGTTTAAATTTCTTTTTGAGCTTTGGATGGCCGTCTTATCCCGTTTTGCTCTAGTGCACAATTAATTATCGTGATATCGTTGCGTTCGGATCGACGCTCCAAACAAAAATCTAATGTATTTTGTTTACCTATATATTGAGAAAGTTCTTTCAATTCTAAATGGACTCAGATTGAAAGTTCGAAGGTTGAATCGAACCATCGATTCAAAGCAATCAAAGGTCAGGAACTCCAGATGAATCATGGCATCTATAGTGGAATACCTGTACAAAGAGAGATCAGGGGGTTTTTCCACACCACATTCCGCTCTCGCAGAAATGTGCGAATAGTAGGTACAAGAGATAGTTGGAGTTCCCTGGAATGCAGTGGGATTTCCGAATGTATAAACTCTGGTTCCTGGTCGCCTAAATGTTTCTGCTAAAATGATTTTAGAGCAGCCGAACCTTCGAATTGTTTGTGATAACCTGTTCCTCCTGGGCTGATAATTGCTGCTGCAGTCTTGGTTAGGTACCATTTCAAGCAAGAGCAATCAACATTGATGCGACTCTACCGGCTAGTGTATGTGTATTCGGTGATCGTAACAGTAAAGCAGTGTGGTTAACCTATGGATTTTTGCACACGTCAAAAGAGGGGACACTCTGTTGGGGATTTCTTTGAACTTTTAATAATATCACTTGTTAAACTCGCAAAAATTTGCAATTGTTTGCATCATGTCTAGCAATCAAGCATTATCCGATATTACGTTGTATTGATACAGTTAAAAGAGGGTCTCCACTTTTTTTCGTGAACAGACCAGCGGGCAGTTAACAACACTGCAGTAAAGCGTAAACGACATAAACAACGGATTTTCCAGCCATTTGGAAGCGATCAGTTCAGAACTCGTTTGGTTCACACCATCGAAGACGACGACGATGGTCCAAGCGCAAATTAAGCCGGCTCGGCTTTGAACTTGACAACACCAGCGTGTCCAGATAGCGGTGTGTTGGTAGGCAGTCGATGTCGTCAGGAGATTCACTTCGGGTCGCAGTTGTAGCCGAAGACTTCAACTAACTGGTCGAAATTGTTGTTCTCTTCGTTTCATTTGAATCAGTTGTGTTTGTGCGCTTGGACGTTCGAGTGAATCGAGTTGCAGAGAAAAGAGAAATGCAGCGAATTAGTGGGCTTTTTGTGCCCTTCGTCCTGCTAGGGTTGACTTCGCTAGGATACGCGTTAAGTGAGTTTGGCAATGAAAGTAGCATTTATTCATTTGAAGATATTTTTCAACCGAATGTCTATTTCCCACAGATGAAAATGACCCATGCACCAATCCAGCCGGACAGTCCGGCCGGTGCATCTACTTCCGTGAATGTGAACCACTGTTGAAGATCTACCAGAAACCGATCGTCACACCGGATGAGAGCAACTTCGTCGAACAGAGTCGATGTGGACAGACGGCTGATAGGAGACCGCTGGTAAGTTTCCAAATGAACACACAAAGATGAAAGATGTTTCTGCTTGGGAAAGACCCCCGAGAACCGGTGTTGGCTGGAACGAACCGGTTTGGATTTAGTATACAGGCTCGGATCGGGTTTCACGGTCGATGCTGCGCTCATCCTTATTCAAACAGGTTCCGCAAGGTTCATCAGTTTGCGGACAAGAACAGGTACCGTCGGGGTTGTTTTGATTATCGTCCACATTGACTCTGGAAGTGCGAAAACAACGCATCTAGAAAGGCTCATATGTGGTAATCAGCTACTTTAGTGCGATGTGAGGAGTGTCATTTGATTTACATCTTTCAGATTAAATGTTAATACAGAGAATGTGAACAGCAAGGAATCCCCGGTTGACTACATGTTAAACTTTTCCCATGTGCTACTGCACATACAGGAATCAGAGGTTTACTTTGCTTTATTGATTTTACATCAATAGACCGGGCCTATTAAGCTTAACATACCACTGGGGTAGGAGAATCAGTTTTGAATCAATCTTGTTCTTTATTATTTGCGATAAATTGAATAAAGTTGCGTCATTTTTCAAGGCTCTGAGCATATTAAACTTTGAAATGATAATAAATATTGTAAATGACGGCTTCGGCAATACCTTTACCTATAGCAGGTTACGTTTTAGTCAAGTTGGTCACTTAAAAGTCACTTTTTGCAACTAAATGTCACTTTTTTCATAAAAATTGTCACTAATGTCACTTTTCTCCCGTTTCCAAAATTTGCTTGTTTGTATTGACTATTGTCTAATTTATTATCTCTAACAAAAAGCTCAGAGATTTTTTAGAATTAACGTAGAACCCCCTGCAATTTCTTAATCTGAACACTTTTTTGTTTGAACTCCGAACTGAAAATTGGTTTCATTTAGCACATGAAACGGAGTAAATCGAAATGGAACGATGTGAAACGGAACCCAGAATCAAAACAAAATAGCAAATAAGGTTTGCAGAAAATCGCTTTTCAGCTGATCATAGGATTAGGGAAGAGCGCTACTTCGTCGTAATCGCCCATTTCCGTTCTATCGAGCAGAAAGCATCAATAATATCAATGATTTCACCGTGCACAAATCAATAATACGTTTGTTCCGATCCGTTAGTTCATAAGCCACAACATGAAGCCTATTACAGCGCATTGTATGAATATTTACACTCATTGTCCTCAAAAAAAAAGAAGCGCTCCTAGCGAATCCACCTTTTTCTACCATCATCCGTAGGCCGAAGAAAATCTAATGGCGTTTCAATGCGTTAGGACGGAATTGAAACTCGTAGGACGAATTTAGAATCAAGAAACAGTGTTAGATTTTTAATAATATCTCAACATTGTTTGACTGTTTATCAATTCCAACGGTACGTATGGAAAGGTGAATAAATTTAGAAGTTATCTTTGATGAAAACATTTTTTGTTTTGTTCAAACCCTTTCAAAAAAGAAAGGTAAAGTGCGGGATGTGCTTTTAAGACGGAAATTAGATCAAAAACCCTGCTAGAAGTTAAAATTAAAAATGAATTCCGTTAAGGAGGTGTCGTTCAGATTAACGGGGATCCAGGGTACATTAAAATGTCTGAAAGCTTGGAATTGATCTGAAGCTTTTTTTGGACTTGATATGAAGTTTGAACAATTTAGGAACGCTCTTGATATTCATCGAGAGAGGAAATGATCATCTGGCGATATACTTTTGCCCGGTGTTGTAACATTTGCGAGGATCATTGCAGTAGCAGTAGCCACGAAAATCAACTTTTACTATGGTTCTATAGCAGGATATCAAGTTATTGAATATCGAGTTGTAGAGAGTTGACTGTGAGCAAGAGAATATAATTTTGTATCGGGAAGCTGAGATTGAACACCTGCCAACTCAAATAGCTATTTTTTTGTATAGATTAGTTAGCGACCAGTGATTCTAGATCAAGGGATGTTCAGATGATCTACACACTAAAAATTGACTAAGGTTATATCATCGCAGAATTTATATTTAATGTACCCAAATGATCTATAATGGGACCTCATTTTCATTGCTCTGGTCATTCATAGGTTTGAAAATTTTAATATAAATTTGAAGGTCTTTTATGTTATATTCAGAGATATTTTCGAAAAAGCTGGAAAGCTTTCTTTTAGAGTTAGGATATATTAGGCTAGCTTGTAGAATTTTTGGATGAAGTCTAAAATGCGGGTTTTCAAATTTAACTTGAGATTGGTATGGTGAAATAAGGATTTCAACCAAGACAGGGTGTCTACTACCTAGAAAAACCTGGAAAACCGGGAATTTACAGGGAATTTAATTTTTTCTGGGAAAACCTGGAATATTCAGGGAATTTTGGTTCCACTCAGGGAATTTTCCAATTATCACTTCATTCGTAATTCAAACGAAGTTTTTCGTTCAGTTTCTCGAAACGTTTCTTAAGGACACTGAACTTGACAAGCATCTGACAGCTAAGACAACGTGTGTGAACGAGACAAGTTCATTCAGAGAGTCTTGTCACGCTCGCTCTTCGCTGATTTGTATGTGGATGATCAAAATCGTCGTAAAAAGTAAACAGCCGAAAAAGAGACTGGCAACCGTCAAAAGGAAGCATACGAAGCATGTATTGTATAAGAATAAGCATGCCAGACAGCAGGCCTACATAGAATATTTTTTTGAGCTTCAGAGAGGGTCGGAGATCTACTGAAAAATTTGTTGAGCTTCAGGGTAGTTCGTAGATCTTGAGAACAGAGCTACAAACAAATTAAAAGTAATTAACAGAAATTCATAAAAACAAAATCACAAGAGAGGTCGTAGATCTTCAGATAAATGTTCAAAGAAATTTTCAAAACTTCAAGCATGTAAAAATAATTACTATAAGCGAAATTTTGCAAATCTTATTCAACATCAGAAAAGTTCGTAGATCTTCAGAACAAAGCTACAGAACTTTGATAAAAAATACAGGACTTCTGAAAAAATCACAAGAATCTCAGAAATGTTAATGGATCTTCAGTAAAAATTGCAGAACTTCAGGGAAGCTCGGCGAATTAAAAAAAAAATATTTACTCGATTTCAGGAAAATTTGTAGATCTTGAGAGAGACATTTAAAACTTCTAAGAAGCTCAAATATTTTCAGATAAATTTTGACAACTTTAGGTAATCTTCAATTTTCAAATCTTCAGGGTAACCCGAGAGGAATTTACAAAACATCAGGGAAGTTTGCAGATCTACTGAGAAATTTATTGAGCCTCAAGTTTTTTTTTTGTAGATATAGAGCTACGGAGCTTAAGACAGCTTTACAGAACTTTAAAGATATTTGCAGGAATTTGACAGATAGTTTCACAGTTTCACACAAATGTGAGATCTTAAGAAAAATTCGTTAAATGTCAGAAAAGCACCTCAATTCCTAAAACAAATCGCAGTGAAGTACAAAAGTACAATATTTTGCAGAACTCCATAGAAGTCGGAAATCGATAGATCTAAAGAACTTCAGAGAAGTCCGTAGACCTTAAGAGAAGTCCGTAGACCTTAAGAGAAGTCTGTAGAACGTCAGAAAGTTCGTACGTTTTTAGAAAAATTTGCAAAACTTCAGCAAAACTCACAGATTTTCGGGAAAGTTCGCCGATCTTTAGATAAATAATCCACAAAGAAATTTAAAGAACTTTATAAAAGTTCGGAGATTTACTGTGAAATTTATTGAACTTCAAAGCAGTTCGTAGATCTTTAAAGCAGAAATACAGTACTTCAGAAAACTTTACAGAATTTGAAATAAATTTTAGGAACTTCAGAAAAGTTCAGAGGGTAGATCGTAAATCTACTCAAAAATTAGCAGATGTTTAAATAAATTTTCAGAATTTTACTGCGGTTCTTGGATTTTGAAAGACATTTACAGAACTTCAGTTAAGTTCACTGATCTTTAGAGATATTTGCACAGCTTCAGAAAAATTAGAAAAACTTCAGAATACTTGCTAAAACTTCCGGAAAGCTCAAAAATTTCTAGATAATCTTTTAATTGTTTAGAAAATTGTATAGATGTTCAGAGATATTTGCAGATATTCATTGAATCATAAAAATTTGCAGAGAAAATTACAGAAGTTTCGAGAAGTTTTTAGATTATTAGAAATTTTGTGAACATCAGAGATAATTGTTGATCTTTAAGGATATTAAATCTTCAGGGATTCAGAAACTTTGTAGATTTTTAGGAAAATTTGCAGAACTTCTGAAGAACACACAGAACTTCAAAGAAATCTGTAGAACTACCTAGACATTTGCAGATTGTCAGGAAAGATTATTGATCTTTAAAAAAAATTTACCGGAGAACAGAAACAAAACTTCAGGGACGTCAGAAGGTTTGAAGACCTTGCAGAATTGAGTTGTTAACAGAAATTTTCAGAACTCAAGGAATCATGTATGTCTAGTGAGAACTTTTCCCACTAGCTTGTTTAAAGTTGGTATCGACATCCTGGCGAAGTTTTGAAATCCATTTTCATCTTCATATCGCAGCTCTTGATGGATAAGATGAGCCAGATCCCTGCCGGTGTTCCTCCTGAGCAACCATTTCCTACTCCACAAAGTTCACCTTCTTTTTCTCATTTTATTTAAAATAATAAAAGCAAATACGTCTGCCGAAACTAGAGCAATTTTCCGTTAATTCATGATGGAAGTATTTACTTTTGATTCCTGATACAGTTTTGTTTTGTAATCTAAATTGACAGTTCTTTCGACATGTGCAAGCAGTGTGAACACCAGCAAACAGGGGGGTTCGACAAAGTGTGTCGAAAGTAAATTCGAGCAGATTTTTCATTATGGCGGTGGTCAAAATCAGACCAAGAAATCAGATAGTCTCAACGGACCTTAAGAGATTTTAGACTTGTGAAACCATGATTTATTCTGTCTTAGTCTTCCAAACAGAGTTGGACTCAAACATATTATCAAAATAATATTTTGTTTTTGAAAACATATTGTTATCAAATTTTGATCTATCGTTTTTTCGAAATAGTATAGACAGGTTTCTTACTT